AAAAAAAAAAAAGCAAAAACAAAAATAAAAAAGCAAGTCCACGAGGCAAGAAGCCACAGTTCTAACTGGTTTTTAAATTCCTCCTAATGTCCAAAGTGGAGCAAGATGGATGTGTTGGTCAGAAGCCACTTCCTCTCCTCTTCCAGGAGCGTGGGCAGTGTGTGTGGAAGCTTCCTGGCTGTTCATTGAGGTCCTTGTGGCCAAAGGATTTTCCTCCATAATTTGACAAGGCCAATATCACTTCCCTAATCCTCTCCAGGTGACTTCAAATGGTTGACAGGGCTTGTTTAAACAAAGCATTAGCCTGGTCATAAGCAGTTACCACAGGCCTGGGTCCCACTGCAGTGGTTCCCAACAGGGCCTCTTTGTCTTCTCTGTGAATTGAAGTGAAGGAAGGACTTGATATAAGAACATTCAGGGAGGCCGAGGCAGGCGGATCACTCGAGGCCAGGGGTTCCAGACCAGCCTGGGCGACATGGTGAGACCCCGTCCCTACTAAAAACACAAAAATTAGCCAGGCATGGTGGCTCAAGCCTGTAATCCCGGCTGCTAGGGAGGCTGACGCAGGAGAATCCCTTGAACCCAGGAGGCAGAGGTTGCAGTGAGCCAAGATTGTACCACTGCACTCCAGCCTGAGTGACAAAGCAAGGCTCTGTCTCAAATAAATAAATAAATAAATAAATAAATAAATAACATTCAGATATTTTGTCATAACTTATAAACAGCTTAGTAATAAACACCACCTCATATTTGGATACTGTGCTTTCACAGAAATTATTTCATTTTAAAAAACTTCGGTTTCCCCTACCATCCTTGTGGGAGATAAGGAAAGTCCTATTTAGAGTCCATTTTCCAGATGAGAAAATTGAGGCTTGGAGACGCTAACCTGCTCCAAATCAGTTCCCTCCTACTTAACTCTACAGATTGTGGCACATGTGTGTTTGTTGTTTCTGTGTGTCTGCGATGGTATTTGTGTAGAGATACGGATTTTTTTTTGGAGGGAGGAGCTACAGAAATAATTAACAAAATAATACAAAAAAGAAAGTAAGTGACTGGAAGCAGGCTCACACCTGTAATCCCAGCACTTTGGGAGGCCAAGGCAGGCGGATCACCTGAGGTCAGGAGTTCCAAGACCAGCCTGACCAACATGGAGAAACCCCATCTCTACTAAAAACACAAAAGTAGCCAGGTGTGGTGGTACATGCCTATAATCCCAGCTACTTGGGGGGCTGAGGCAGGAGAATCACTTGAACCCGGGAGGTGGAGGTTGCAGTGAGCCGATTGCACCACTGCACTCTAGCCTGGGCAACAAGAGCAAAACTCCATCTCAAAAAAAAAGAAACAAGCAAATAAACAAAATTAATGAGGGTATGGAATGAGAAGAAACACATCAGACTGAGGAAATCTTCATAAAACTGAGAAGATTTGGAATGTTTTGAGGAATAACAATGTGAGTTGCTCAGCTAAGGCAGCATGAGGGCTGGCTGGCAAATTTGAGTATTTGAAGTCAGAACACTTGCTGCTCCAGCATTTGGAAGATGTGCAAATGCCACACTATCCACACTATCTTGCCAGAACGTGTCTTCTTCTTCTTTTTTTTTTTTTTTTTTTGAGACAGAGTCTCGCTCTGTCACCCAGGTTGGGGTGCAGTGGCTTGATCTCAGCTCAAGTAGCTGGGATTACAGGTGCATGCCATTGCACCCAGCTAACTTTTATATTTTTAGTAGATTCGGGGTTTCACCATGTTGGCCGGCCTGGTCTCAATCTCCTGACCTCAGGTGATTCGCCCGCCTTGGCCTCACAAAGTGCTGGGATTACAGGAGTGAACCACCACGCCCTACCCAGAACATGTCTTCTGTGTTACAGAATTTGTACACTGGAACAGGGTGGAACAAGGAACAACACTTCAAGTAAATGGGTTTTAGAATCTTTCTTTAAACAAATGTGAAAGTCAGAGAAAAAGAGAGAGAGAAAGAAAGAGAGAGAGATGGAGTCTCACTATAATGCCCAGGCTGGTCTCAAACTCCTGGGCTCAAGAGATCCTCCCTCCTTGGCCTCCCAAAGTGCTGAGATTATAGGCATGAGCCACCATGCCTGGCCGGTTTGAGAATCCTTCATGTTGAATTTAACCAAAAGCTTATTTCGGGGAACCTTGTCGTATCCTCCCAGCTCTGCATTCCTTCTGCCCTATGCCTTTATCACAGGTGCTCTGTTATGGCTAAAAGGAGTGACCCAGGACGTGTGCATCCTAGGAGGGTCACGAGATCGAGCAGGGGCCTTGGTGTTCCCCGAGCCCTGTCCTGTGCTGATACAATCCAGACAGGTTGGCCCCTTGTCCCCTGCTCTTTGTGTTCTGAAGTTAAAAAAACAAAACAAACAAACAAAAAAACCAATTGTGCAACTCAAGTCTGTCCTGGTCTGTTTACCAAGCACTGGAGCATGTGCTTGGCGTGAGTCACGTGGTGAACTTCCAGGTCAGCGACTGTTTACCGGCAGCTGCTGGCTGACATGCCTCCTCTGCACAGCTGGTTCTGATAAGTCCCACAGTAGTTTGTTAGAGAGGACCGAGATGGTCCCACACACGTGGTGTGAGGGGGCTCTTCCTGTCCCAGGACGTGCTCAGGGAGACTCAACTGGTTTCTGAAATCTCTTTTCCAGCCTTTTCCCTGGAAGGCTCAGGAATCAGTTTTGCAGATTTATTCCGGCTCATTGCTTTCTACTGCATCAGCAGGTAAGGCCTCTTCTTCTCATACGATTTCAAGGCCCTGCTCAGTGTGTGGGATATAATTAACCTGAGGTTTCCTGAAGGATCTAGAAGCCTGGGCACCTATTTGATGTTGGTGGATTAAGACCGGCTGTTTAAGTAAAATGTTCACCAAGTAAACAGGTTCACCAAGTTCTCACCATGCCAGGCTTCAGGTCAAAACCACTACCCCAGCCCCTCCAGACATAAATTCTCCTTCATATGATCATCTCTTCAAGCTGCTCCCAAGGCTCCTTTCAGCCAGACCCATCAAGCAGGAAACACACACATACATGCACATATGTGCACACGCACACACATGTACACACAGGCACACACACATACACACAGAAAGGGACTGTGCATGCAAACCTGTGACATTGAAAGTTTCATGATAATGCTTCTGAAAACTCTGCAAGGGATGGAGGTCATTCTACAAATATGGGTTCCTTCAACCAGCCCATCAGTCTTGTCCTTCAGGCCAACTAGGTGCTCATGTCCTTTTCATAACCAAAGCAACTGTTTTGTTCTACATGATGTGAAGTCCAAAATCATCTTTTTTTTTTTTTTTTTGAGACAGAGTGTCACTCTGTTGCCCAGGCTGGAGTGCAGTGGCATGATCTCGGCTCACTGCAACCTCTGCCTCCCGGTTCAAGTGATTCTCCCACCTCAGCCTCTCGACTAGCTGAGACTACAGGTGCCTGCCACCACACCCGACTAATTTTTTGTAATTTTAGTAGAGATGGGGTTTTGCCATGTTGGCCAGGCTGGTCTCCAACTCCCGACCTCAGACGATCCACCTGTCTCAGCCTCCCAAAGTACTGGGATTACAGACGTGAGCCACTGCGCCTGGCCCAAAATCAGAATATTAACCAGAGTCAACAGGGTGTGCGTTATGAAAGGCTTTCTTTTCTTTTCTTTTCTTTTTTTTCCATTTTTTTCTTTCTAGCAATAACACTGTTTCCACATCAAGTGTTTTTTCAGTAATTAAGAATCAAAATTCTTAGGCCAGGCGTGGTGGCCCATGCCTGTAATCCAAGCACTTTGGAGGCCAAGGCAGGCGGATCACCTGAGGTCGGGAGTTCAAGACCAGCCTGACCAACATGGTGAAACCCCGTCTTTATAAAAAAAAAGAATCAAAATTCTTGTTATCTGCGGGGACTGGCATTCTGCAGAGACTGGCCTTCTGTGGGGACTGGCATTGCCTCCCCTTACGGGACTGAGCTCAATTCGGCCTCCTTTTCTTCTCTGTCTGCCCATGACAGCTGATATGGCAGAGACAGGTTAACTTGCTATTAAGATGTTTTAAAAGATCACTTCTCACAGCTATGACATTATAGGCTGGGGAGTTTATTTAGGTTTGGCTTGGTTTATTTTAATTTAAGGATTAGGTTATTTCTCGAAGACTGAGCACCTGTTGACTAGACTCTGCCAGAGGGTAGAAGGCATTATGCTTTTTTTTTTTTTGAGACAGAGTTTCACTCTTGTTGCCCAAGCTGGGGTGCAAGGTGCAATGGCGCAATCTCGACTCACTGCAACCTCCACCTCCCGGGTTTAAGCGAATCTCCTGCCTCAGCCTCCTGAGTAGCTGGGATTACAGGCATGCACCACCACGCCTGGCTAATTTTTATATTTTTAGTATAGACAGGGTTTCACCATATTGGCCAGACTGCTCTTGAACTCCTGACCTCAGGCAATCTGCCCGCCTCAGCCTCCCAAAGTGCTGGGATTACAGGCGTGAGCCACCGCGCCTGGCCAGGAGGCACTAAGCTCTTTACTCTCTGAAGTCTCCAGGTCAACTGAAGCTACACAATAAATGGCCTGAGGAAGGGGAGGCACTTCCAGAGGAGGAATTCAGTGCTGCTCACCAGCCAGCCAAAAATCAGGGCCTCACTGAGAATGGGACCAGTACCTAGGAGCACCTCCCAAGGGGATGCCTTGTGCCTGCCATGATTTGGGCAGAATCCCTTAAGGCTGTGTAAGGAAATGTGCTGCCCAAAGAGAGGAGGCTGGTGCAGAAGCACAGCTCCCAACACACACACACACACACACACACACACACACACACTCACACGAGGGACCCACACCTGGTTAGGCCAGACCAGGCCTAAAGCCAACCAGTTTGGAGGAATAAGTCTCAATGCTAACATGTTGGCCAGAGGTGATGTCAGTTTGATATTTACTCTTCACAATTTGCTTTTCGGTAATTGTGGAGTTGTTGGGAAAAATCATTACACCTACAAAACAATATTTGGCAATAGCATAGAAAAGATATCATCAGTGTTCATGGCAAACTGGAGTCCCTGCTGTCCAGGACTGTTTGAAGATGCAAGGAGACAAGGTATATGAAAGCCTTGTAAACTGTAAAGCATGATCCCAACATAAGGTTCTCACAGGAAAACTCCAGTGCAGATGTTTTGCAGCTAGGAAGGCCATGATTAATTTCCCCATTCATTCCAAAATGCAAAGATATTGGATGTTTTTGTTTCTCTTTCTATGCAACTCATCTGTGTTCTTGGCAATTGGTAGTTGATTTGCCCAGTGTTACAAGAATATTTGTGACATCTTTTAGTTGGCTATTAGTATGTAAATATATTCAAGTAAAGAAATTGATTGGATTGTTGGTTCTGGTGTTTCACACAGCACACATATGCAAATACACATTGCATAAGAGAATTCACGAATCAACAAACATAGGATTTGCCATATTGGGAAGGCTCACTGAAAAGTGTCATTGGCAATACAAATAGCGACTGCACACCTTCACCCGCAATGCCTGGCACCGTTCTGGTGATTTGGTGTCATCAGTGTAGTATCAAGAGTACGAGAGTCATTTGGGGTCTTGTTAAAATGCAGAATCTGATTCAGTGGGTCTGGGGCGGTACCTGAGATTCTGCATTTCCGCCAGGCTTCCAGGGGATGAGGCTGATGCTGCTGGTCCTCAGACCAGAATAGAGGAATAGAGGAAATAATAATTTTAGGGGTCTTCTATATCTGTGCTGGCACCATACATATGTATTTCTCATCCTCACGGCAACTCTGTAAATTAGGATGATAAAAACACTGAGGCAGAAGGAGTGAAGCACATGCTCACAGTCATTCAATCAGTAAGTGACAGTTATAGGACTTGAACCCAGGCCTGCCTTAATGCCAAAGTCCCTATTTTCCCACCATACTATTCAGCTGCATAGACCTTAGGGTCCAACGCACCTGGATTTCAACCCTCACTTCACCTCCATTAGCGCTGCGAGGGTGTCCTAGGGACCTCACTTGTCTGCGTTGTCATCTGCTCCTAATCCACAGAATGGGGGCGTCACAGCTTCCTCCCTGGGCTGTTCCAGGCCCCACATGAGTTACAGTGCCTGCTGCAATGTAAAAGTAGTTGCTCGATGATCTTCATCCCCTCCCATTTAGAAATCTACATATAGAGCAAAGTTAAACAAAATAAATCTAGACTGTACATGGTTTAACTCTTGGGTGAAACATTTATATCTAAGATGATGGCTTTAGTTTGTTATGCAAGCTTTAGAACTGAGGCTCCTTTCTTTAATGGGATGTAAGTGAGAAGGTCTCCCCATGTGTGTGAGAGAGTATATGTGTGTGTGTGCATGTGTGTGTGTGCATGTGTGTGTGTGAAGATGGTGGGATACACCCTGGTTGGCACAGTGGGGGAGGACGCATATACAACATTTAATTTTCTAGTAGATCAAAGCCTGAAACCATCCATTAACCAAGGACGGGTATGGCTTCCTGTCATATATCATTAAGAAAAACCCAAACAAATCACATGATGTTTAAGCTCCAGGTACTGTACTGAGCAAGGTAAAAGCTAATATAAACATAGGTTGGTCTTGATGTATGCAGCTTTCCCCGCAAATTGTCTGAGGAAAGTAGATTTTAATTACGTTGGTCCAGCCACACAAACATATATTTACAGGCTAGTTTGGTGTTACAAGGTTCTGGTGCCCATTAATCTTCATTTGAGATTATCATCAGGGTTGCCGCCCTGCCAGGTCAGGCAGCAGCCATTACAGACATAGTCATCCCTGCAGTGCTGGCTGCTTCATCTCAAGCAGACACAAGTGGGCAAGCAAAGGGGGTGCTCACAACACTTGAGGACAGGTAAAAGGTCTCATGGAAGGAAGAGGTGGCCTGACCCCCAAGAAGAGTAGTCGCCTGGCTTTACATGAGCACAGGAGTACGGTGTCAAAACATTCTTGTTTTGCTCTTTTTGCTGACTAATTTGTTATTCATTGTCAATAGCTTCCATGGCTCCAAAATTCTCCAGTCGTGCAGATTTAATCTGGTTCATCCAAGAACGTTGCCTAATTTTACTATAAACAATAGGTTGCTTGGTATCGTTATTGTCAGTGGAAATTCTTAGCACATCTCATGATGACAAAATACAGGCAGGAGTTCCAAGTTGTGTTCCTTACTAGCACCTCCCAGCCACAGTGGCTTCCTTGCTGTTCTTCAGCCATGCCAGACGCTCCCCACCCCAGGGACTTTGCACCTGCTGCTCACTCTGCCTGGAAGGTGCTTCCCTTCATGATTTACCTCTTGGCCACCATCAGATCTTCAGTCAAATGCTGCCTGCTCATGAAGCCCTGCCTGGCCACCTTCACACTCAAACACTCTGTTCTCCTTTCCTGCCTCACTTTCAGCCATGTCGTGCATCTCCTTCTCGTAGATTCTGTAAATCGTGTATCTGTTTATTGTCTATCGGTGTCCCCTGACATGAAGCTCCATGAAAGCAGGGACTTCTGTTTTGTTTCCAACCCCTGATGCAACGTCTGACACATCGCAGATGATCACAAACATCTGTGGAATAAATGAATGAATACTTCTTTGTTTGTAAGACCATTACCGCCACTGGCAGGGGCAGGGGCAGTAATGGTAAGACCATTACCACCACTCAAAACTCTTTTTGAATAAGTCATAGTTATTGAATATTCATTCATTCATTCAAAAGCACTTTCTGCCTATGTCAGGAGAGTGTTGTGCTTTGTCCTGCAGGGAATTCACCAGTGCTTACAGCATGGTCCTAACCCTTGTGTATGAACACGAGCACATGTTTAAGTCTGCCTTTGCCCTTTCCAAGAAAGCAAGTCATGGCCCATGGATGTGGCAGGCCCCTGATGCTGGCTGGGCTCCCTCCTGTTGGAGGTCTGTTGCTCTCTCTGTCCTGTGTGTTTGTCATCTGCACATGGTGCCATGCTGCTTGGGTGCTGGGGGTTGTTGGCATGAGAGGCCTTAGACTTGCTTTCCTATTCCAAGCCCAGTCCAGGGTCTAGCAGCATCAGTATCCTCTAAGAGCTTGGCAGAAATGCCAGATCTCCAGTTCCTCCTGGATCTCTGGAATTGGAGTATGCAGTATAACAAGACCCTGGGCATCCACCTGCACTTTATTTTTTATTTTAAAAAGTTTATTTAAGATGGGGTTTCACCATGTTGGCCAGGCTGGTCTTGAACTTCTGACCTCAGGTGATCCACCCGCCTCAGTCTCCCAGAGTCCCAGGATTACAGGCGTGAGCTACCGCGCCCTGCCATCCGCACTTTAAAGTTAAAGAAGCTCTGCCTTCAAACACAGGAGAAAGTTTTGTCTCCAGCAAACCAAGGCCGATGTGTAGGCTCTAATTGGAAGATTTCATAAGTCAAGCCAACAGGTGTTCATCGAGAGCCTGCCATATGTAAAGCAATGGGCTAATTCATCTCAGTTTAGGATTCCATATTCCTGCCCGGGCAGTTTGGACCCAACATTCATATGGGCATGTAGTGAAAAGTTTTATATGCATGCTATAGACATTATATGTACATAATGTTTTATATGCATGCTAGATCTACCAACAGAGTCAGCATTTCTGATGTAAACTCTACATAACTTTTGGCTACTGAACAGGACAATGTGATCCCTACTCTGATATGAAACTATGCTGGTTTTTCTCTCTGCCTGTCCTGAGTGTGATAATACAGACAGGAATAGTAAGTGTTGAGTTCTACCACCAGGAAAGATAACTTCTGATTGGTGTGGTACGGTGTCTACTTAGGACATTCTAAACAGTTTAAACTACAACATCTCTATGATGAAAATAAATACAAGAGATAGAAACCAGACATGTAATCAGAAACATTCTCTCTTTTTCTGAGCAATCAGGGATGTTCTGCCGTTTACCTTGAAGTTGCCTTATGCCATTTCAACAGCCAAGTCGGAGGCTCAGCTTGAAGAACTGGCCCAGATGGGACTAAGTAAGTGTGAGCCCCCTGCCTGGGTCTATCTAAAAATGAATCCATGGAGCAGAATCAATGGTGGGCTCGCTGAGGCTACATTGCTTCATCAAACACACGTATGGTCAAAAATAATTCCCATCTTCCTGGAAAAACTCTGCTTTCAGGTCCCTGTAGTCCCTGAATCACACTTTCTGAGATTCTTTTTCTACATCTATTGGTCTGCCAACTCTCAAAAAGATTGGTGCTGAGTTTGCCTGGGTAACTCTTGAATGTCTCCAGCTTCTCCATCAATGAGTTTGGGCTATCCAAAATGTTGAAGTTCTACTGCAAACATCTGTAACGTGTTGGCGTCTTCCCTTTCTGAGGCATCTTGCTGGGGAGAGACAGAGCTTGGCTGAAAGGGAAACCCAATGTAGTACATCCTGCATGCATAATTTTTTTCTTTTTTTGAGGGGCACAAGGGCATTGACAGCACTTCTGTGCTTTAAGGAATTTGACAGCGCAGACATCTAGAGTACCATCTGTTCCACTTCCTCTCTCGCCGTTCAGTTCTCATTCTGCTGTTCCGGGCCATGTCCTAACCCTGTCGTGGATCCCTGCTCTGGCAGCTGGGTACTTGCTTCCCCATCCTGCCTCTTTACCAATGTCCCCTAAGTCCCCATGATTCTGTGGGACAGTGGTGGACAATGGATCTCGCCCACTTTAACTTCTTTTCCCCATTGCCCTGAAGGAATCTATGTGGGTTTAGCTTTTGCAAAAAATGTTCCACCTAGATCAAAGGATGAAATTCTCTTAATATTTAAGGACTTCACTCACTGTGATACTTGACCCAGCAAATAAAAGATATATGTATTCCTCCTTGGGCATTTTTTTTTTTTTTTTTTTTTTTTTTTTTTTTTTTTTTTTTTTTTTTTTTTTTTTTTTTTTTTTTTTTTTTTTTTTTTTTTTTTTTTTTTTTGTTTTTTTTTTTTTCTTTTTTTTTTTTTTTTTTTTTTGTATTTTTAGTAGAGACAGGGTTTCACTCTATTGGCCAGGCTGGTCCTTTGGCATATTTTTCTCTTAATTTAAAAAACTTATTTTGAAGCGACTGCCATTTCTGAGGGAGCCTCAGAGAGGAGCCTGGGCATAGCTCTGAATTCTCTTCTCTTCTGTTAAAACCTAGATTATTTTTTTTAGAAGGAGCTTCGTTCTGTCACCCAGGCTGGAGTGCAGTGGTATGATCTCGGCTCACCACAACCTCCCCCTCCCAGGTTCAAGCGATCCTCCCATCTCAGCCTTCCAAGTATCTGCAATTCCAGGTGCTTGCCACCATGCCTGGCTAATTTTTGTATGTTTAGTAGAGACAGGGTTTCACCATGTTGGCCAGGCTGGTTTCGAAATCCTAACCTTAGGTGATCCACCCACTTTGGCTGTGAAACTTAGATTGTATCTGTAGAAGAATTGCCCTTGTGTGGCCAGGTGGCAAGACTGGGTAATGGGATTTGGAAACAGAATCCTGGCAAAACTCTCAGGTCATAGAAATGTCCCTATTTAACAGTGGCACCTTCTTTTGCAGCTAAGTTCTGCATACCTTTGGAGAGAGATTAAAATACTTGCTGAAGTTAAGTCAATATTATCAACTAGATTCTAGGCCTCTTGAAGATGTGTACTGGGTCTCAGTTCTCTCTGGTGACCTCTGCCCACATAGCTACGGTTTGATGGTCCACAGGCAATGTGTTCTTAGTACCGAGTCTGCAGAACCAAAGTGTCAAGGACAATGCTTGTGACATGCCAAGAGAGAGGTGAAGAGTTTTTTCCAATGGCTGCTAACTAGATGCAACTGAAATCTAATGAACATATATTCAGGTTGTGATTATCGGTGTGCATATTATCCATTTTGTGCAGAGATAGCATATTTTAAAATTCTGTGCCTCAGTAAAAATACTGTTCATCAAACTAATATTTTTTGAGGGTCTGCTTTGTGGCAGACACTGTGCCCCAGACCAAGGACTCAAAGGTTAAACAGATTCCTTCTCAATCCCTGTGCCCCTACCCACTGCCAATGAGGTTTGTAGTTTATTTTATTTATTTATTTATTTACAGACTGGGTTTCACCATGTTGGCCAGGCTGGTCTCGAACTCCTGACCTCAGGTGATCCTCCCGCCTCGGCCTCCCAAAGTGCAGGGATTACAGGCGTGAGCCACCGCGCCAGGCCGAGGTTTGTAGTTTATATGGGAGATACATATACACATGAACTAAGTATACAAAGCCTTACAAAGGTTTTACAGCTGTGACAGTATAAGTCTAAGAGGACTCAAAGGAGGGAGAAGTAACTTCTCCAAGACATGCTGTGCTAGCCATTAGAACATAAGGCGAATCTATGTGTAATTTGAAATTTTCTAGTAGCCACACAGGTTAAATTGATTTTAATAATTTATTTTGTTGCATTTAATGTATCTAAAACATTATAATTTCTAGAGGTAACCAACATAAAAAAATGTTTAAGGTGTGAAATGTTTTACATTCTTTTTGTCATACCACGTATTCGAAACCCATTGTGTATTTTATACTTACAGCACGTCTCAACTCAGGCCCTAAATGTTTGTCAGAAATACATGGTTTGTATTTAGATTTCATTAAGTTCACAGTTGAAAAAGTAGATTCTCATAACCAATTTCCAAAGATACGTAAACGTTTTCCAGTAATTGAACTGAGCATCTAAAATTTAAATTGATTGACACTGAATGGGATTTGATATTGACTTCCTCAGTTGCGCTAGCCAACTTCAAGTGCTCAATAGACACCTGTGGCTGTTGGCTTTCTTGTTGGACAGGGCAGGAATAGAGAGCGAGAAGGAGGGATACAGGATCGATTTCATAAAGCAGGTGATGCAGCTGCCACCACACTGACAAGGCAGGGCCAGGAATCCCAAGAGTTTCTCCTCAGTGCCCCCATGGCCAGCCATTCTGTGTCCATGGGAAAGAAAGACACTGCAAGGCATAGCTAGAGATAGAGAATAACCTATTCCAGGCCAGCTACAGTGGCTCACGCCTGTAATCCCAGCACTTTGGGAGGCTGAGGCGGTGAATCACCTGAAGTCAGGAGTTAAAGACCAGCCTGGTCAACATGGCAAAACCCCATCTCTACTAAGAATACAAAAGTTAGCCAGGCGTGGTGGCATGCACCTGTAGTCCCAGCTACTTGGGAGGCTGAAGCAGGAGAATTGCTTGAACCCGGGAGGCGGTGGTTACAGCGAGGCAATATCGCACCACTGCCCTCCAGCTGCGCGACAGAATGAGGCTCCATCTCAAGAAAAAAAAAAAAAAAAGAATAACCTATCCCACATGGAAATTATAACAGGCACCACTGATCACACCACTACCTCCCTCAACTTATATGGAACACTGAGACCCATCCACAAGAAGAGACACAGGCAGCACAGACAAGCAATCTGCCTGACTTTGCAGAGCATTGCATATTTATGAGCATGGTGAGGAGATTATATAGGACTTGGGAAGTAAGGGCTCCAAACCACAAAGGTAAATGGTTGGGCCTGCTTGCTGTGGTTTTTCTGCTGATGGGACCCATGAATGCAGTTCTCCTCCTTCGGTGGTTTTAATGCTGAATGTGTAAAACCCTCGGCAGATTGTGTAACATCCCCCGGGCCCAGCTGCTGGTCCTGCCCATTGAAGGGGAACTTCAAGGACCCATTCCTTGGCTGGCAGCTGCACGGTGGAGGGCATCCCAGGAGACGTTGTTGGGAAAGGGTGGCGTTGCTTTGGAAGTCGGTTCAGTTTTTGTCAAGCGTCAGGAAGCCCCTTTTTTGAGGTTACACTGGAACAATTCCAGTTCTTTTTTTTTTCCCTTCCTGCTTACCTGTGAAAAGGCAGAGCTGGAATCCTTTGTCGGCCACGCCATTTCTCCAGGGCTTTGAAGGTGACAGGCCCCTGAAGCCTTCCTATGAGCCCACAGCTGGGCCTGGCAGCCTTTCTGCCCTTTCCAGTACAGCCAGTGCTCGACTTACGACCACGATTGGTTCCGACAGACAGGTCGTAACACGATTTGGTCGTAAGTTGAGTAGGCTATATGCACGCGGAGCTGGTAGTGCTGCTGGAAGCTGGTCCGCACTGTCGTACGTCCAGCTGGGCAACGTCTGCGCTGCCAGACGCGGAGCAGTCGTGGCTTGCGATTGTGGTCGTAAAGTCGAATGGTCGTAAGTTGCATAGGTCGTAAGTCGATCAATACCTGTAAAGGAATGCAGTAAACCCGAGCACGACGCATCCCCCCTCCCACCCCGCAAGACGCGCTTTGTCATGCCGTGTGCTTTTTTTTAATTTGTGAAGGAACGGTCTGAGGGTACTGTATTTACATTCTTGTGTTCACTGATAATGACTTTCAGATTTCTGGAGCTCCCCAGCTGACAGCAAGCCCCCGAACCCTCCACCTCCCCACAGGCCCCTCTCCCCCGACGGCGTCTGCCCTGCCTCCCTGCGTCAGCTCTGCCTTATAAATGGAGTGCATTCTATCAAAACCAGGACGCCTTCGGAGCTGGAGTGCAGCCAGACCAACGGGGCCCTGTGCTTTATTAATCCCCTTTTCTTGAAAGAGCACAGCCAGGACCTCAGCGGAGGCCTGAAGCGGCCGAGCGCAAGGACTCCCAACGCGAATGGCACCGAGCGGCCTCTGTCCCCCCCACCCAGGCCCCCGCCACCCGCTATTAATAGTCTGCACACAAGCCCTCGGCTGGCCAGGACCGAAACCCAGACGAGCATGCCAGAAACAGTCAACCATAACAAACATGGGAACGTAGCTGTGCCTGGAACCAAACCAGCTCCCGTCCCTCCACCCCGGCTGAAGAAGCAGGCTTCTTTTCTGGAAGCGGAGGGCGGCGCAAAGACCTCGAGCGGCGGCGGGCGGCCGGGCGCGGGCCGGGAGCTGGAGCTGGGCGCAGCTGGCAGCCCAGGTGGGGCCCCGCCTGAGGCCGCCCCGGGCGATTGCACAAGCGCCCCGCCGCCCAGCTCTGAATCACGGCCCCCGTGCCATGGAGGCCGGCAGCGGCTGAGCGACATGAGCATTTCCACTTCCTCCTCCGACTCGCTGGAGTTCGACCGGAGCATGCCTCTGTTCGGCTACGAGGCGGACACCAACAGCAGCCTGGAGGACTACGAGGGGGAGAGTGATCAGGAGACCATGGCGCCCCCCATCAAGTCCAAAAAGAAACGGAGCAGCTCCTTCGTGCTGCCCAAGCTCGTCAAGTCCCAGCTGCAGAAGGTGAGCGGGGTGTTCAGCTCCTTCATGACCCCGGAGAAGCGGATGGTCCGCAGGATCGCCGAGCTGTCCCGGGACAAATGCACCTACTTCGGGTGCCTGGTGCAGGACTACGTGAGCTTCCTGCAGGAGAACAAGGAATGCCACGTGTCCAGCACCGACATGCTGCAGACCATCCGGCAGTTCATGACCCAGGTCAAGAACTATTTGTCTCAGAGCTCGGAGCTGGACCCCCCCATCGAGTCGCTGATCCCTGAAGACCAAATAGGTAAGTACCTGCAGTTTTTAAAAATGTAAAAATCTAACGTAACTCCGTCCGGGCAGCGCAACCTGTGTTTATTTTTGATGAAGCTTACTCCGAAGTTCAAAACAACAGCCAACTCCACCTTCTCTCCCTGTTTGAATGGAAAAATCAGTTTCTCAAAGTAGCTGCTAACTGCCAGGCTCAAAAATGTTTTCGGGAGTGGCAGATTGGAACTGCAGAGTGATTCTGTTCAGGGATGGACTTCGGCCCTCTGCGGGTCCAGTGCGTGCGTGCGTGTGTGTGTGTGTGTGTGTGTGTGTTGCTCGTGCTAACGTCTTTGGAATTGTGCTTCTCTGCAGGCTGTGCATACATACAAAAGTATTTTTGTTATTTTCTGAGAGGCAGTGGGTATTTTGTTCTGCCTTGGTTGCAAAGTAAACTTTTTATTGAGGTGTAGCATATGTTCAGAGAGCACAAAACTCAGGGATGCATTGGAATGAGTTTCCACTGCAGGCTTACCTGTGGGACAAGCGCCAGAGCCTGGATAAGCAGACCCTTACCAGCATCTAAGGACCCCGGGCCTCCGATATCCCTCAAGGGCACCATCCTGCTGGCTCCTCCTCATGCCATGGACTTCTGTGACAAACTTGTATGTACAGTTAAAAAAAAAAAAAAAAAAGTTTGTTTTGTGTACCTTTAAAATAAGTAACATAAGTAACATAGTTTGGAGGTCACATGAAAGGTGTTTTCTCCAACATCAAGGGGAAATACTTTCTTTATAATCTTATCTATGCAATGAGTCCCTAATGGTTTATCTGGCCAAGGCAAATTTGAAATTGGCAAGCAGTCTTTTTTTCCAGGGTGAGAATGTTGAAGGGTTTTTGTTTGTTTGTTGTTTCTAATTTCAGAAGGTTGACTCTCAGAGGTTAATTTCAGAGACTTTATTCACCAGGCAGCAGGAGCCATTGGAGCTACCAAACATTCCCAGGCAGTTCAGAAGTGAAACCCCAATTTTTTCTTTCTGATTGGGTCCATTTGTTGAAAGTAGTAAACAGTGTGTGAGAGAGGGCTCTTTCTCTCTCTCCTCTCTCTTTTCTCCCTTAAGTGATTTTCAGCAGCTCTTTGATTTTCTCACAAAGGAATCAAAGCCTTGTTTGTTTTCTTGTGGTTTGACTGAGGCCAGGCCTGGTTGATCAGGGCGTGGTTAAAGCTGGGGTGTTGCTGGAGTGAGTGGCTAAAGGAATGTGCCCTTGTGAGGTGCCTTCTAATTTAAAAAGGCGTCAGGGAGAGGGCAAAATATCCATACAAGCGGCCTCTTTCCCTGTCCCACCAGAGATCCCCTCTCAAGGGAGACCATATCGGACTCAGTATTAACAGGAACCCAACCTGCAGGGGAAGCTTCCTCTTAGGGACTGGGGTCGGGGAGTGCTGGGCGGAGGGGGGTGTAGCCAGGCAGGCGCTGATGTCAGGCCTGAGCTATGTGGCCAGTGGCGCCAACCAGCCCACAGTGCCTGGCCTTCCCTCCCTGCTGATGCTATAAGCACCAACCCAAGTCCGTCCCGGGAAGCTCTGCAGCCAGCTCCTTTTGTTGTCAAGTTTGGATATGGTACTTGCTCTTAGAACTCAAGGACTCACTCATTTTCTACAAAAACATGCTGAAAATTATACACTTCACTATTCTAGAAGGATGCAGCTTTTAATTTAAAATCATTATGGAGCTTCGAGTATGAGCCCGGCAGCTGGTCCAAGCTATTCCAGTGGGTCCTCGCCTCACCCCTGTGAACAGGCATCGGCATCATTTACGGATTGGAGGAGGACAGGGAGGGCCATGCCAGGCCATGCCATTTGTCTGCCTGCCACACTATCTAGTAACTAGCAGGTGCCATATTTGAACTTCCGTGGGATCCAAAGCCCTTTTTTGCTGAGCTCACTCTTCGCTGCTGCTGCCTGTGTTCCTATTTTCTCATCAGAAGTTCCGGGGAATTGTAATAGCAGGGCCAACCCTGTGTTGAGGCTGCTCGGACTGACACTCTCTGTTGAGGCATGGGTATGGCCTCCAGAAGCATTGCTATGTTTTTTCTGTGGGTTTGTTTGGTTTGGTTTTTTAAACTTTTGCACTGAAAGCAGTCAGTTCCTCCTGGTTCTTCACCAGTGAAACATTCTGTTTTGAAAGTGCTAGACTTTTGAAATAGGGTGAATGGGAGAAGAGGTCAACCTGAGAAACTCATCACAAGCCCAGGTGGAAGGAAAGATGTGACCCTAATTATTAGAAAGCCAATCCCCATAGAGGTGCACTTTACTAGATTACTCTGACAAGAACGTGGACTTAGCCAGCCCACTTGTCTGTGTTTTACATTTTCCTAAACGAAGGAATCACTAGCTTACTAAGGACTTGTCAGTACAATACCTTTAAGACTCATAACTGACTCAAGGTTGGTATATTTGAATAGATATTGTTCATGTTTTGCAAATTCAGGAACAGAGGCCAGGATGTGTAGAGTGATATGCAGAGGTGATGTCTCGGTTAGGAGGGGAGCTTGCATTCAGTCAGATCTTCTTATCTTGCTTGTGCACTAATTCCCACTGTATCTGACTTCCTGTGCAAAACACCAGATAGTCTTCACGTTGACTGCCACCCTCAGAATTCCAAGCCTCAAATTTGTTCTGAATAGGTGTCCACTGATGCCTATAAGGGTTTTTGAGAATGCCAGTTGGGTTTCTCTGCTTTAAAAAAAAAATCTAGTTCTATCCTCATTTCCTATAGCTTCTGAAGAAGATAGCTCTGAACTAGAAGACAGAATTCTAATTTAAAGCCTAGATTTATGGAACATCCTGAAGTCAAGAAGGTAGGAGGACGTATTACACTGGTTTAATCAATGTGTGTTAAAGCAGTCATTCTTAGTTGGAAATGACCCTATGAATGCATGCACATGTATCTGTTTAGTATATGGAGATAATACTCATCTGTCTTCTTCAGAGAGTGGTTCTTCAGTTGCATAGAGAAAAGCTAATGAGAAAAACAAATAGTTCTCACTCACTTTCCTTTTGCCCATGTGCTGGTGTCACTACCCCTTTCAGCACTTTCTAGAAGTGCAAATGATCAACAGTGAATCAATCTCAAAACCAAAAAACTGCCCTGTAAATAATTATGGAGAATTTGCATTCTATTTAGATTATGCTTTGGAGCACTTCCAACCAAAAGCCCCCCCCCCCCACCTCATGCAGAGGTTCCTGAATACATCTTCATTGCCTGGCACCAGCTTGGTTCTCCTGACTGGAGAATGAAGCCAACGCGGGTAAGACATGGGTTTGTTCCCGTGTGTGCTAGCTCTCCATTCATTCCAGGCCACTTACCAGGCTTCCCTCCCAGAGAGCCATCACCTACTCTCACCCCTCCCAAGTGGTACCTGGAAGAACAAACAATTGCTTTAATAAAAGTGTGCAGTTTTGGGGCCCTACTGAAAGCCTTGATATCAGCCACCTCATAGACAGTGTGCTGCACTCATTGCTGACGTTCCGTGCTATAGGATGTAAATGGGGTGAAATCACTTCCTGCTCCCACACATGCTCCTCACTGGTGGGTGTTCACATCCCCATCCCACCACTCTTGCTTTGGTCTTTTCAACCCATGGGGGAAATCTATCCAAAATTTCTGGTAGAGAAAGCTTCACTTTGCAGAACTTGTTGCAATGTTCTGGTTAGTGTTTTCATTTTAGTCAAATAGTGTTTATTTCTGACTTGTTGTCAGCCTTAGGAAATCCCTCTGTTTTCAAGGCTTGTTTCAAGAAAAACAAAATTTGTCCAACTCCAAAAATGTTAGTAGACTTAAAATTTTCGATTTCATTCAGATACTCACCACAGACTATCAGCAGTGATACAAAAGAGACAAATGTTCATATTCCTAAAAGTGGGGAAAACAGGATGGTACTATGTTTATTTAAGTGCTACAAACCAAAATGTACGTCTTCCCCAAAAAGCAATTTAATGATTTGAAGAAAAAGTATTCTTAAAATCAGTTACCACGTATTTCAAAGATCACTTCGATTTATGTATCTGAGTGTTTTTTGTGTGTTAATAGAGAAATGATACGGAAAATGTGGTTAGACGTCAGGGAGTACAGTGCACATAGAAAAGGGGATTGAAATGATTCCCAGGGAGTTAAACAATCATAACTACTCTGGTTCAGATCTGCTGTTTGTTTTTTTAAAAAATGCGTAGTTAAGCTGGCTGTAGCTTCAATATCGAGAGTGTGACTTGTTTTTAATTTTTCAGGTCACAGTTTTTTTCAAGCCCCTGAGTTATCATTTCTTTTTTTTTTTTTTGACAAAGAGCTATTCTGGGTCTGGGCGCAGTGGCTCACACCTGTAATCCCAGCACTTTGGGAGGCCGAGGCAGGCAGATCACTGGAGGTCAGGAGTTCAAGATCAGCCCGGCCAACATGGGGAAACCCGGTCTCTACTAAAAACACAAAAAATTAGCCAAGTGGTGGTGATTGACACGTGTAATTCCAGCTACTCTGGAGGCTGAGGCAGGAGAATTGCTTGAACCCAGGAGGCAGAGGTTGCAGCGAGCCGAGATCGCACCATTGCACTCCAGCCCGCACAAGAGCAAAACTCCATCTAAAAAAAAAAAGCTATTCTGAGAGGTGTAACCAGGGAAGAATGTTAGTGCCAAACAGAGATTAAAACCTTGAATCCTCTGACTTCTGATCTAGTACATGTGACCCTATCGCCTGAAGGAACAAATGCCCTTGCAGACTTAACAAGAGGCAGATAAAAAGAAGAAAGATTGCGGTGTGCAAAAGGATACCTACCTATCTTACGTCCCAAAATTAATTTAAATAGAAGACCACAGTAAGAAGCACCTGTTTCTCCCTTGTGGGGCACCCTTTGTTGAATACTGTTCACTCTAGGGCATCAAAACGCGGTCGATTATGTTACATCAACCAAAACAAGGCGACACCCTGGAGTTGTGACTCTGACCCTGAGTCCCTGACTCCATGATGGCCCGCACAAGGGTGCTGT